ACCGACTGGATGTTCCGTCACCATTTGTCATACTGCATGCCTGAATAATATCTATCAATATTAATTTTATCATTAACAATTTCAGCCGTTCCTCAAAATGTGATGTCAGAACAGTCAAAAGTCAAAGATATTGGAGGTAATATACGTGCTGTGAGTGTTTCTCTTAGGGGGGGAGGGGAGGGGGAACAAGACAATGCGATTAGAAAAAGTCTTCTTTATAACAAAAAGGTTTTCTTGATTTATACCAAATGTATTTTACAATCTGTTTGTCTTTCAYATGCAGCATGCTCCCAATGTAGACACATCCCTCTTCGAGCCAAAAGATTTTGTCGACGAGATTATGGTAAGCAGTTTTATTGCTTGACTGGTTGGTTGTTTGGTTCATGGTTGGTTGGTTGGTTGGGTGGGTGGGCGGGTGGGGAGGTTAATCGGTGATTTATTTATGATTTTCTGGTTAGTGCTTGGTTGGTTGGTTGGTTGGTTGGTTGGTTGGTTGGTTGGTTGGTTGGTTGGTTGGTTGGTTGCTTGGTTGGTTGCTTGGTTGGTTGCTTGGTTGGTTGCTTGGTTGGTTGCTTGGTTGGTTGCTTGGTTGGTTGCTTGGTTGGTTGGGGAGGCTAATCGGCAATTGATTGGTGGTTATTGGGTTAGTTGTTGCTTGGTTGGTTGATGAATCGTTTGTAAGTAGTTGTTGGATTGTTTGGTTAGTGGATTATGGTATTGTTGATGGTTGACTGGTTACTGGTTGATTGGTTGGGAGCTGGTCTAATTGGTTGAGAATTGGTACATTCGATCAACGAATGTACCAATTCTCAACCAATTAGACCAGCTCCCAACCAATAAATTATTGATCAATGTGCCTTTTTGCAAGTTGGTATCGTGAATAAGTCATGGTGGTTTGATTTGTGGATCTTTGATTTCTCGATTTCTTTAATTTGTGATAATTATAGAAACTAATTACTGTTGTCTTTCGATGTTTCCATAGCAATGAAAGTAACTGTTGTCCGTGTAGACAAACACAGTCCAAAGGAATGGGTACGAGTTACAGTTAATATCAATACTTCATTCAAACGTTCGGCTCTTCGATTTCGCCGCGGCGATGGATACCTATGGGTGCGTCTTCGTGACCACAAGTGCAAATGYCCACGATTAAARCGAGGAAGAAGCTACTTCATCGCTGGTAAAGTTCGACGAAATAGACTCAGAAGATCGATTATTGTTGATGGTCGCAGCATCGTAGTTCCATGGAAAAACAAGTTATTGAAACGAATTTACAGATTTAAAAAACTACAACGAAAAAACCGATGTCGGTGAAACAATAATCTTGCGGTCTTCCTGTGTGAC